GGTGTGTGTGTGCGCGCGAACACGCGCGCGAGCGCCTTATGCGTCTACATGAGCCTATGACTTGAAATGCAGATGACTAAAAGCAACTATACCCCATAGGCTTCAGTAAAAATATTTATCCCAACCTTATAGCCACAGCAGTCTGTGAAGAAAATACGCGTACTGTCTCTTTTCTCAGATTCTACGTATTGAGACAACAGAATTCCGAGGACATTGGGGACCTTGGAGATATTAGTCTGAAGCTGATCCTCACCCTGTTCCTTGCTTGGCTTCTCATCTTTGGGTGCCTCATGAAAGGAATCAAGACTTCTGGAAAGGTCAGTAATCAACAGACACAAACAAGCAAAAACGCACAAACATTGACTTGCATAATTTCAAATATACGGAAAAGTTGTGATTTCTGAACTTAACTACTAGTACCTACCTATCTACCTACCTACCTACCTACCCACTTACTGAGCAATCTATCTATCTATCTGTCTATCTGCTATCTACCTATCTATCTATCTGTCTATCTATCTATCTATCTATCTATCTATCTATCTATTTCGCTTCCTGTTACCCCCCCCCCTCCCAGGGGTAAATATTTCCGTTTACATCTAGCAGTCTATCAGTAGGCCTTCATGTACATTGGGAAATTACGAGCGCACATAAATGACATTAAAAACAGTCTGTATCGGAGGCACGACGCGGTGGAATCAGACGCTCGTCAAATTTTGGGCCTATTGCGTTATTGGTGTTAACTAAAAGCTTGTTCATTAATAAGTGTCTTGCTTTCGGTGACAAAAAATACCCTTCTATCATGAATAGAAGTCAAGATATGTGCAGTGGACGATATAAGGGTCGCCTGGTGTCAAAGATAAGATTACAGAAAAATTGGCCGCCAAAGTTTGGTGACTACCAAAACTTGAGAGTCCCTGAAAACTGCAAATTTACATTATTTGTGCCTTTAATCAAGGTTTCCCAGTTAAATACACTCAGAAATGTGTTTTTAAAAGGACATAAAAAGTGTTGGCCATTTTTTTAAAGTTTGATAAAAAATTGTCCAATGGGCAGAAAAAATATCTATTTCTTTTTAAGTTCATTATTTTTACGAGCGTCTGATTTTACCACGATACTACGCATTTTGTATATGAGGTGCTCTGGGTCTATTTGCTTTTAGAGTGAGTGCGTTGGCACAGTGCCTGTGTTAGTGACAAGTGCAGGTTTCTGCTTCGTGTAATAATCAATAATTAATATCAGGGTGTGATTGTTTTTAACTTGTGATCTAGCACTTACTCGTACACATCTACGTACACAAATATATA